TGCTCTGCAGGTCGTGGTGCCGACTGATCCTGAGGAGGAGGAGGAGGAGCAGGCTGGGGGGGGGCGACGAAGAGGAGGAAGAGGAGGGATGAAGCTGCAGAGAGACACTGATTTAGATCAGCTCCATGACAAAACCAGAACCATCAGAACCAGGCGTACCAGGTGGAAGGCTGACGGCATCTGCAGCTGCAGATGGAAGCGCAGCAGGAACAGGAAGTGGTCATGGTTCAAACAGCTGCCGTGTGTCCCTCTGCAGCCACCGTACTGAACACAGAGGATCCAGTTAAAACCCTCAGCAATAAACCAGCCGAACTATCCATCAGTCTGTTTTACTGCATTTATTCCTGAATTATTATCAGGGACCACAAACGGCCCCCGGGACTCACTTTGAACACCTTCCTGCTTCCCGTTGCTATGGCAACACAAACTCACCTGCCGCCTGAGGGTTTCTAAGGCCCGGTGCGTCTGCAGGTGTGTGGGCAGCGGCAGCAGCAGGCGCAGACTGTCCTCCAGGACCCGGTCTCTGGTGATCTGTCCTCTGAAGGCGTCCTCACCCTGAGACGGGACGCTGAGTCCCGGGTCCACCTGGACAGACAGAGACACGCTGACCCCTGCTGGACATTCAGCGTAACCGAACCGGTCCTGAGCTGGTACCACCTGGCAGAACTTTGAGACCAGCGGGTCAGAACCAGCGTGACCAGCAAGGGGCGGCAGAGCTCACCTGGACCACAGCAGGAGAGGCGGCGCCGCTGAACATCAGAGTGAAGGTGAGCAGCTGGAAGCACAGCAGGCAGCTGGACAGAACCAGAACCAGGAGTCAGAACCGGACGGATCCGCAGAGACGAACCTGGGCAGAACCGGGCCTCACCTGCCGCCCGCTGCAGGCTCCTGATTGGTCGACGCCACCTGCAGCACCGCCACCACTGCCCTCTGGACCTGGATCCAGGCCAGCCGGGCCGAGGCCGGCCCGAACCGCTGCAGCAGGAAGGTTCTGATCTGCAGGGCAGGAGGCCAAAAGGTCAGGAGGTTCTACTGACCCGGATCCTACCAGAAGTTCTGGTTCATCACCTGGGTCTGCTGGCCCGGGTCGTTCTCGCTGGCCTTCACCACGATGATGTCATGCAGGAATGATGTCAGAGGGGTCACAGAGGTCACCAGGACAAAGACATTCACCATGGCAACCAGAGCAGGAGAGGGGGCGTGGCTGGGCCTGTCCCGGAAATAGGAAACTGAAAGTTTCACCGTCCAATCAGCAAACATGGGGCTTCCAGGTCCAATCAGACCCGGACCACCTGACGACCCTATGCTCACCTGTTCTGAGCAAAGGGAGGCTTCTGATTGGACGACCCACAGGACACAGGCCTCATGGGAAGATCAGCTTCTAGAGAAAGGTCAAAGGTGAAATACTGCGTTGAGGTTGACTTCTGCTTGACCTGGAACAGACTCACCTGTCAGCTGCAGATAGAAGCGACATCGACCTTCACCTGCATCTGAAAACGCCTCCATCAGCTCAGGTAGCAGGTTCACCTGTACACACACACACACAGGTGAGCTGTGATGTCATCCAGCAGGACTCAGCCTGGACAGATGAGTCTCACCATCTGATGCTGCAGATGTGAGAATCTGATCCTCCTCAAGCAGCTCGGCTCTGAAGAACTGAGACACAGCAGGAGGCTCCACCCACTCACATCTGGAACAGGTGGAGGGGAGGAGTCAGGACAGGTGGAGGGTTCAGGTGGAGTCCTGCAGGGCTCTGTGTTAAGATTTCTCTGTAATCCAGATTATTCCAGTAGATTACAGGACGTTAAATCCTGGATGACAGAAGTTTTTGTTTTTGGATCAGAACCTCTGAACAGAACCTGATCAGTTGATTATTGATCGGGATCAAATGATCCTCCAGTGATGAAGCTTTTAACCAGGATGTCATTTAATCCCACAGGATTTCTTCCTTTAATCTCTGGATTATGGCATAAACGATAAACCTCCATCTGTTTGCTCTGCTCCGTCTTCTCCAACCTGCAGCCCGTTCTGGTTCTGGTTCTGCTGGAGTTTTTCCTCTCCACTGTTGCTACATGCATGCTGAGTTTGAGGGATTGCTGCAAAGTCAATGGCAGCGCCCCCTGCTGGTCAGGAGGCGTGATGCGGCAGGTCAGACAGAAACTTTAATCCAATTAGAACAACTAATCAAACTGGGATTAACTGGGATGATTTGTTGTGAATTGGAGCCACATAAATAAACTGAACTGGACTCCTAGCCCGGTTCTGGACTCTCTGTAGAACCTCAGCAGCAGAGTCCTCTGCCTGATTGTTTCCAGCTGCTGGACAGGAAGTCACATGACAGGAAGTCTCCACCCTCTGTGTGTGTGTGTGTGTGTGTGTTTTCACTGCTCTGTATCCTCAGAAAGCTGCTGGTTTCAGCGAACCGGGTCAAATGGACCTGATATCCCATCTGCTGCAGAACCTGCTGGTGCAGCACAACCTCAGGGTCCGATGGGCCGTGGCGACCCATCAGAACCACGGCCTGCCGCCGGCGCTGAGATGACCGGGCCTGAGGAAACACACAGATCGGCTGATGGTCCAAAATCTGAAGCTGGTCCAAAATCTGAAGCTGGTCCGGTTCTGGTCCAGTTTGCCAGCTCCAGCAGCCTTAAATCTGCTATAAATAATCAGCATTAGCTTATTATTATCGACTGGGCCCACATGATACCAGAACCAGGGTTAATCTGGTGGGTTCTAACAAACTGAGTTTGTTCTCAGAGGGACTGGCTTCAGTCGGTTCTGGTTCTGGTTCAGCTCAGAGGACTGGACCCTCCAGAGAGCAACAGGCCTTTCTGTGTTTCAGCTGTTTAACATTTCAGCAGCTGAATATTAAATGTTTATAGCGAAGCTAAACTTTTAGCCTCTGATTAACATTCAGGATAAATAATCCAACTACTGCTGTTTATTTCTGACTGGGGAAGTTTCCAGGCAGCAGGCCGCATTAAGGAGCAGTAAGAGCCGAGAGAGTTCGGTCCTGTTCTGGTCCGGTCCGGACAGGAAACCGCTGGAGCCGGACTTCCCGCTCCGAAGCAGCTTCAGAAGCAGACGAACCCGGGCCGAAACACTGGCAGCGCCCCAGAACCTGGAACTCCTCCCTCAGGAATATTTTTATCCAGGGTCAAATACCGAGCGGACCCAGCAGAACCGGCGGTCCGGGTTGGCCCATCCAGCTGCCGCTCATCCCGCTGGAGAATTCGGGTCCTAAAAATATTCCAGGCCGGCAGGAATGCGGTCTCCACCGGGAGCTTTCTGATCATGTGATCAATAACTGATTAAATGATTTGAACAGGGAGAATCTGTCTCTTTTTCTCTGATTATAACTTTATAGTTTTTAAGAAATCAATTCTGATTTGGACTACTGCCGGTATCTTTTGTTGCGTTAATATTTTATTTACTCGGAATTCTGATGTTTTTCCAGAACCGACCTGTCGGAGCACATCGGTGCGCAGACGCAGTTCAGGTGAGTCTCACCTGCGTCTCCTCCTGCAGGGCGTCCAGAGCAGAGATCACTCTCCTAGTCTCCATCTCTTCCGACTCGCTCCGGTTCCGGTTCCGGTCCACCTTCAGGGTCTGGTAGCAGAGGTAAAGCAGCGCGAGCAGCAGAACCAGCGGGGCCGCGCACGCGTGCCGCCGCAGCAGCATCCTGAGGAAGAGGAGGCGCCGCATGTGGAGCGGCTTCACTTCTTCACCTCCACCTGGCGAGGAAGAGGAGCAGCTTCATCCAGGAGGTCCGGGTCTCCGCTCGCTGGGTCCGGGCTGCAGCCGCTGCAGTCTGGGGAAAACAAGCTGGAGCTTCACCATCTGGTTCCAGTTAGTCCAGCAGGAGGAGGAGGAGCAGCTCGGGTTTCACTCTTCCTCTGAACTTTCTAAAACAGCAGATTCAGGAGGTCCGCACCTCCTCCTCTTCCTCCCGAAGGAGTTATTTCAGGAACACAAGCGGCTGGTTAAAGAGAAAAGCGGACCTTCGGTTCTGGTTCTTATGACCTAAAGACCGGAACCGGACTCAGTCCGGTTAGTTTTGTTATTCTGGAAATATTTACATTTATTGTTCCTGGTAAAATGTTTTATTTCTGGCTTTTAATTTCAAAAGGTTTAATTTAAACTCAGTTTCCTCCTGATGTCGCTCAAACTTTTCACATTAAGGCACCGTCCGCAAGGGGGCGCTGTTTCCCCGCTAACAGGTTCCACCGTCACAGCATCAAACACCAGAAGCAGCAGCAGATAGAAAACATCCTCAGTTTATTTACCTCACACACACACACACACACACTACATTCAGAAACTGTCCATTTGAGCCACAGAGGCCTCCATAGTTGTAGTCCAGTAGAGTTTGTAGTTCTTTTAGTTGCAGTGAGGGAGCAAAGTCTGATGGGAAACAGTCCAAACTGCAGAGACAGAGAAATCGGATCAGAACCAGAGCAGAGGCAGAAACCTGGCCACTGATGATGTCACAGCTCCTGACCTGTGTGATTGGTCTATTTGTGACGGCTGCCCCTCCTCTTCATGGCGGCCGTGCACTGGGGGCAGAACCACTTCCCCTTGGGAGCCTCGGTCAGGCCCACGCAGCCGTAGTGGAACCATTCGATGGGGCACTGGGGACAGAACCAGGTCAGAACCAGCCAGGCAACTGGTCAACCAGCTGAACATCTGGATACTCACATCTGTGTTGTCACAGCCGACCATCTCTCCATAGGAAACCTGCAGCAGACGGATCCCATTAGACCAGAGCAGAACCAGAGCAGAACCTGCGGGCCGCCAGCCTACCTGGTTGCAGATGCAGTAGCGCGGCTCGTTGGGGTCGTAGGTCCAGTCCACCTGGCTGTTGGCGTCGGCCTCTGGCAGAACCGCAGCCTGCTGGGAAAGCTCCTGGGCCAGCGCCGACGAAGACGAGCAGGAAGACAGCGAGGAAGAGGATGATGACGAAGACGATTGGTGGTTGGAAGACTTGATGGAGCTCCTGGAACCAGAACAGGCGACCCGGTTAGACCCAGTCAGACCCGGTCAGACCCGTCCTGATGTGGGAGGGCCTTACTTGGACTTGCGTCCGCGGGAGTCGGAGGCGGCGCTGGGGGTCAGGTTCTGGGTCAGGGTGGAGGCCAGCGCCGATGAAGAGTAGCCCGAGTTCTCCCGGGTCAGAGAGAACTCCCGACCCAGCTGGAAGTCGTTGTTCTTGATCGCCTCGTAACTCGCCTTCAGGCTGGAGGTCCGTCGGCCCTCCTTCATCTGGGAACCAGAACCAGAACCAATGGAAGACTGGACTTTACTGAGCTTAATGTCAGTAAAGGCTTTCAGTTTTCACTTAAAGGCCTGATGCTTTTCAAAGCTGCAAAAATGTTTTTCCATATAATTGTTCAAACTGTCAATGAACTCACTGACCTCCTCACAATGCTAACTGCTAACAGGTTTCCTCTGTGGATCATCAGCCTGATGGGCTGCCAGACTCCTCTTACCCCCACCAGGCTCCACCTGCCTTCAAATAGGCTAAGTGTCGTCTGTTTATGTTTAGTAGCAAACGGTGATAGCTGAGACCGGTTAAGCTAGGTGTATAGTTAAAGTACTGGTCTCGGTGCAGGTTGTGCTAGCCTGTAGCATCATTGATCTGATTGCTCTGTGACAGTCCAACCTGCACCACCATTAAATATGGAAGCCTTATGGCAAGCTGTTAGCATGTTGTTGACCGTTGAGGCTCTGACCAGGATTGGGTAAAAACAACATGCAGCATCATCAGTGCTGATGATATTGATGATGGGTTCTGGTCTTTTCCCCAGACGCCAACAGGCGCTCAGCGTGTCAGCCATGTTCCCACCTGAGCTGTGGCTTGGACGGCCTGAGCCGCCGCCATGGTGATGGCGCCGGCACCGGCACCAGGCCCGGCGGGTAGCGAGGACAGACTGTAGGACGCCAGCGGCTGGGACGGGTTCACGCTGTAGACGCTGTTGGTGGACGAGGATGTGCTGTTGGCACGGCAACCTGCAGGTGACAGGAACAAGTCAGGACAGGTGCAGGTCCCCAGGTCTGGTTGGGTCCAGGTCCGGTCCAGGTGAGCAGAACCTACCTGGTGTGTTCTCCTTGGAGGCGTCCGATGTGAGTGTGGACAGCAGAGCTTCAGACTTGAACTTCTTCTCTGGAACGTGTTCGGTGGTGTGGTGGGTCGGGGCGCTGTACTTCCTCTCTGGAACAGAACAGAACCGGTTAGAACCGGAGCCGGAGCCGGCCTGCAGGCGGGCGGCTGGACTCACTCTCTGAGCTGCTGTGGGAGTGGACATGGTGGTTGTTGACGGGCTGAGACGGACTGTCCATCTCCAGAGACCCTGAGGACAAAAGCAGAACAAGTCAGCTGACCCAAACCGCCAGAACGGGTCGGACCGGGACACTCACGTCTCTCCAGGATCTCGGTGATCCCAGCGTTGTCAGCCTCCAGCTCCATCTTGAACTTGGCCAGTTCCTGGTCCAGTTTCCTCAGGTGCCGGTCCACCTGAGGACAGAGACAGGAAGCTGAGCTGGAGAGCTGGACTGACAGAACCGGGCTGGGTGGTCAGAACCGGGCTCGATCGCCCCTAGTGGAGATCAGCGGAACATCTCACCAGATCATAAATCTGATTGGCCAGCTGCACCTTCTCATCAGCGTCCTCCAGAGCTTTGTAGTAGTCCTGAAACAGAAGAACAGCAGACGTTCACCAGAACAGAACATCTGGAAGGTTCTGGGTCCAGCCGCTCAGAACATCTGGAAGGTTCTGGGTCCAGCCGCTCAGAACATCTGGAAGGTTCTGGGTCCAGCCGCTCCCACCTTCTTGATGATCTCCATCTGCTCCTCTCTCCACTCCGGCTTGTTCTTCTTGGCGTTGACGAAGAACTCTGTGACCTTCTGCTCCAGCTGGTCTGTGGCATCTGAAACGGGAAGAGAAGCTCTGAGGAGGACCGGGCAGAACCAGGTGATCCATTGGGAGAACAGTATCCATCCCAACAGAAGAATAGCTCGGAACCTGCAGCGTGTTGATCTGAACCAACTCCACTCGGGTTCTATGGGTTCTGCTCTGGTGGCAGCAGAACATCTGCTCCGGTTCTGACAGCGTGGAGCTGAGGTCCTGTCCGAGTTTCTTCCAGCTGCTTTTCTCATTAAAAAAAACTTGTGTGAGAAACGTGTCATTTAAAGAGACAGTACCTGTAGTTTCAGTTTGCTTTAAAACTAGATTATTAGTTACAAGATTTATGGCAATATTTATAAAAACTGGCCAAAACAGAATAAATCCAGGGTGGCCCGCGTTACTATAGTATTACTGCCGGCCTTCCGTAAAAAAAAGAAAGAACTTGAAATGGCAAAATCTTTACTCACTCTTCACAGAAAGTGCTGGAAATGATCCCCTGGTGCGTCAATGCAGTTTTGGGCGCGCCTTAATATACCGTCATATACGCAACGCAACTCAGGGGCACCAATGCTCTGAATCGCCTTCTTGCCTCTCTGGCAGGAAGGCGGGCTACTTTTTCGTGGGCCACCCTGTATTGCCTCAGTGTTATTTCTAATTTCCTCTTTAATTCTTCTGGTTTTTTAATGTGATTTTATGTAACAGAGCAACACAGAGTGACTTCATTTAGAAAGAAAATCCAGTAGAACCCGTTAATCAATTTGCTAAGAACAAAATAATCAATTTAAGAAATCCAGAAGACAGAAGCCATGGAGGAGAAACCGCTAGCAGAAGAAGGCTCTGCTACTTTTTAACCTACATGCAAACACTGAGAGGAGAAAAACCAACACCGCGCATCACCCTGAACACACCTTCGCCATGGTCAAACAAAGTGGTGGCAGCATCATGCTGTGATGGATACAAACACACACCACACTTTACAGATTTTCTCTGTAGAAATGTTGAAAAGCATGATTTTTCTCAGTTCTGCACCATGTTGTGTTGTTCTATCACATAAATCCCAGGAAAAACAGACTAGAGAAATTCAGAAATGTATGTAATAAATCACTGAAAAGGTTGGCAGCTTTTAAAGACACCGTCTTTATCATTTTATTCTAACCGAGTTTTCAAGGAATAAATAAAAATGTTTATTTAGAGCAGGGGTCTCCAAAGTGGGTCCTGGAGGGCCGGCATCCTGTACGTTTTAGTTCTCTCCCTGGTGGCAACAACCTTTTCAGCTTGTCAATGCTCCTCTTTGGCCTTCTAACGAGCCATCATTTGATCCAGGTGTGTTAAACCAGGGAGAGAACTGAAACATGCAGGATGCCGGAACTCCAGGACCCACTTTGGGCACCACTGATTTAGAGTATAAACCAGCTGCAGCAGTTCCTGCTGTGTGTCGGTCGGGGGCGCTGTTGGATCCACAGAGCCTGTAGTAATGGCTGGTTTTCAGCTAGAAAAGCTGAATCTGAGTATCAGCGCCAACTAAAACCTCCCTTGTTTTGACTCAAGTTCTCTATGAGGCACCGTGGTTCCGTGTGTGTGTGAGACGGTGTGTGTGTTTGTGGACCGTACTCTGAACCTGCAGGTCCATCTCCCTCATTTCCGTAAACCTGTCGCGGAGGTCCATGGGAAGCTGCTCGATCACTGCGGGAGGAGAAAAACAGGACATTAACGGTCCGACCGCCAAATGCGACCCATCTACCGCTTATTGAGCCCCCAAACCCCGCAGCCGCTCAGCAACAGCCCCGTACTCACTCTCCAGGTAGTCCTCCAGATACAACATCCTGCTGCTTTTAACCTTTTAGTCGTTTTTATCGACAAAATTCGTCTTTCAAGATGGCGCCTCCAGCCGTGGACTGGCTCAGAAAAAAGACCCTAAAAATAGAAGCAGGGACGCATGACGTCAATTGCCTCCCGTCACCTGATTGGTTTGAAAACATTAAAGATTTTTGATTCGCGGGTTTTAGTGCTGTTGCATCATGGGAGCTGTAGTTTTCTCCATTTCATAATTACCCAGAAATCCAGATTATTTTCCGTTGTTCGATGTATTTTAGATGAGGAATAAAATGTTTTTTATGTTCCTGTTTTGATTCACAGCGACATACTGAATCTGATTCCTCAAAGCTTTAATGTCTCACAGTTTTTATTAACTTTACATGTTTCTTATTTTTACTAATAACTATATTATTTCTGTAGTATATTTTTATAATATAGTATATTTCATATTTGCTGTTCCTATTGGATTGTTACTACAATTATTACCATTATCATAACAAATTAAAAATTCAAAAAATACTTTATTGTTGCTAGAGGGAAAATAAATAAACAGCTGTACATGTGTTTGTTGTTATTATATTTCTTAGCTTGGTCACTATTGTTGTCCTGCTACATTTCATGGTTTCACTACTTCCTATTGATGTTTTAACTCAAGGAAAATGAAATGTCGTAACTCAGAGTTGTGGGCGGCGATACTGTTGCCGTCTAGTAGCAGTCAGTCTCGGGGCGAATCTGAAGAGTCCTCTGACTGAAGGCTGTCTGTCCTGACATGCTAACAGCTCAACAGATGATATTAAACAGCAATGAGTCCTGGATGAAACCATCAGTTGTTGGCAGCGCTGCTAATTCATAAAACCCTGAAAATATTCAAACCTGATTCTGGCTGAAATACTAATTTCAGAGAGTCAGAGTAATAGGTTCAATTAAAACATGACTTTAAACCGGATTAATCTGCAGAGATTTAAACCAGCTAATGGCTCTTAGTTTCCATGGTGACGGGATCTCACATGATAACAGAAATCAGTTGGATCAGCACGGGGTTCTGTTTTCAGTGAATGGGAATGGATGACGTGTCCTCATAAAGATAGCAGCGGAAGCCAGGGTTTGTGTGTGTGTCTGTGCGTGCGCGCGCGTGTGTGTGTGTGTGTGCTTCCTCCCTGCAGCTTCATCCTCTTCCTCACGGCCTGCTGACCCCGCGGCTCCCGGCTGGAGGCGGACACATTCCTCTGTCCTCCCCCAGGACCGGAGCGTGACGGAGGGACAGAGGGCGGGCCGGGCCGGGGGGAGCGGCCCGGGTCGGCTTTATTTAGGAGGACCGGCAGCGGGACGGGACGCTCCAGCTCTCGGGCTCAGCAGCCGGTTCTGGAGCGATAGGAGGTTCTGGAGTAGATCACTGGATGTTTGTGTGCTCTCAGCTGTCACTCCGGTTCTGTTGGACCCGATTAAAAAAGAGGAAGAATGTTGGGTTGGAGAGGATCGGAACCGCCGTCTTCGCCTCGGAGCTGAGCAGAACCAGAACCCGCCTATTGGGGGAGAATGCGGCCCTCCGGTTCCGGTAGCAGCCAACGCTGGGCCGGGGCTGCGCAGTGACATGGGTCCCCGGGCTCCAGGGCCCAGGTGAGGGGCGCCGGGGCGGGCCATGGCCCGGCAGGACGCGGTGAGGTGTCTGCGCTGCCTGCTGTACGCCCTCAACCTGCTGCTCTGGGTGAGCCGCCTCAGCATGATGCTGCCACCGCCAGGAGACAGGGGGCCCGGCTGAAACCCAGCAGAACCAGCAGCCGGTTCCGACTCAGATTAATGTTAAAGTGGAACCGAACCAGGCCGGGCTGCATCTGTCCCAACACGTCTCACATTCTGACGGATATTTATTTCAGACGCAGAACCTGATCCCTGTTTACCTCCCTGTGTGTGTGTGTGTGTGTGTGTGTGTGTGTGTGTGAGCAGCTGATGTCGGTGTGTGTGCTCGGCGTGGCAGCGTGGATCAGAGACACCCTGAGCTCCGTCCTGACCCTGACAGCCCACACCAGGTAAGTCCAGTCTGGTTCTGGAGGTCCTCCTTTCACTCGGAACCGCCTCTCTGGACCAAGCACTCTGCTGGTTCTGATCAGGTTCTGTCTGACCCGACCCAGGGTCCGGACTCATTCTGACAGCACGGTAGTGGCAGCGTGGTGATGTGGTGTTTCCTGCTGCAGGTTGGAGGAAGCCGCCGTCCGTTCGTACTCTGCAGCCGTCCACCCCGTCTTCATCTCCGTCTGCTGCCTCCTCCTCATCCTCAGCATGGTGGGCTACTGCGGCGCGCTGCGCTGCCGCCTGCTGCTGCTCTGCTGGGTACATCTGGAGCACATAGATCTACAACATCTAGCGCATACAGAACATTTGAACAAACTTTGGACCTCAAGCCAGGCTGGACCGGGCCATCAGAACCAGCAGCTAGCACTCAGCTACCAGGTCAGAACAGAACCTTCCAAAACCAGTAGAGCCAGGCGAGGAACCAGAACCTGAAGAGACCAGTGGCGTTCACTCCAGAATCAGCAGACTGGAATTTCTGAACACTTCAGTCGGAACCAGTAGGAACCATTTGGACCTCCTCAGTGACCTGCAGACTGGTTGGTTCTGGTCAGTCATGGTGGTTCTGTTGATGCTCCTGGTTCTGAAGGTCCGTCTCCTGCTCTCTTCCCTGTGGTTCTGGTCCGGTTCCTCACTAAAGAACAGCTCCAGCTCCGGGTTCTGATGGATCTACTCCAGTTTTATTGGCTTATTGATAACTTGTTTGGTTCTGGTCCAGAACGGATGGACTGAGCAGATGATGGTTCTGAGACAGAAGGAGGTCCAGTTCTGACCTGTTTGGGTCTGACTGTGTTCTGCTGTGTTCCAGTACTTCTGCAGCCTGCTGGTGATCTTCTGTGTGGAGCTGGCCTCTGCAGTTTGGACCTACGACGAGGTGAGGAACCGTCACGTTTTCAGAACCACGGGTCAGCAGAACCCGACTAGAACCTCAGAACAATGGCTCTACAGAGGCTTAGCGTCAGAACTTTCTGCTCTGGTTTAATTGTTCTGGATAAAACCTAGGTGAAACTTTCCAACCCGAACCAGGCAATCCCCAGCCGAACCGAACCGGCGTGTAGAGCTGAGCAGCTGCCGGCCCAGAACCAGAGGCTCCAGCCCGACCCGGTTCTAAAAATAACCAGAAATGTGAAACATGTCCGGCCCGCCGCTCTCAGATCAGCTTCCAGTCCCTCCTCCCTCTCCAAAATAAAATAAAAAATAAAAAAATAGTGGTAGACACGGAAAAATTCAAGATGGCCGCGATGGTCGTCAAGGAAATTTTATTATTGCACAATATTTGACTGCATTTATCACATATAAATACTTTTGGTATCAAATCATACATGATTAGACCCACATTATTTACTGATAATAGTTTGATTTTTCAAGATGGCCGCCATAATGGAAATTCATTTTTGTCACTAAAATTGACAATTAGATGAATGTTTGGTGCCAACATATTTTGAACTTTTTATTTTTTCTTGATCTTGTCTCCTTTTTCTGGTAAACATTTTTTTTAAATGGCCGCCATGGTCATTACATCGCAAGTAGTAACTGGAAACTTAGACCCAGTAACCAAAAACAAACATAAAAATGTCAGCAGAAGCTAAAGCTAAACCACTAAAAATACCAGAAGCTAAGCTGCTTAAATGAGATAATGATTGAAATACTAACATCTGCTTGATGAGGAGGCGGCGGACACCTGGTTAGCCTCAGCTAGCGGCTCCTTCAGCTATAATAATAATAATAATAATAATCAATTTAATTTGTACCGCACTTTTCATTAGAAAAAATCTCAAAGTGGTGATGATGGAAACATGCAGGCACAGCCGGACAGCCGAGACCACGATTACTGACAAACGTGTGTGTGTGTGTGTGTGTGTGTGTGCGTGCGTGCAGCCCTCAGTCCAGCGAGCCGACATGATCAGCCTGAAGTCCCGGATGCCGGACTACAGCCTGCAGCGCTACCAGTGGCTCACACACACCTGGGACAGCTTCCAGACACAGGTAACACACACACACACACACACACACACAGACAGCTGCTGTGGTCATGTGACCTGTGCGCCTACAGGTGTGTGTGTGTTGTGATCAGTTTCAGTGCTGTGGGGTGATCTACTTCACCGACTGGCTGGAGATGACAGAGATGGAGTTTCCTCCAGACTCCTGTTGCACCAATCAGTTCCCCGGCTGCGCTGGCCACGCCCACCAGCATGACCTCAGTGATCTGCACCAGGAAGTGAGCCTCGCCGCCTCTGATTGGTCAGGCCTCTCAGCCAATCACAGCTTCCTGTTTGTGTTTCAGGGATGCGGTCCAAAGGTCTACCGCTTCATCCGGGGAACCAAGCCGCTGCAGGTTCTGCGTTTCCTGGGGGTTTCTATCGGCGTGGCGCAGATCCTGGCCATGGCGCTCACCCTCACGCTGCTCTGGGCGCTCTACTACGGCCGTCACCATCAGCAGCCAGACGCATACAGAACCCCTGGGCCGCCTGGAGACTCCGGTTCAGTCGTAGCCACCAACGGAACCAGCGTCGGCGACCGGGTCGGACCCAGAGACCAGAGAGCTGCTGAGGCCGGGCTGGAGGACCTGGAGCCGCCTGGCGCCGCAGGGAAAGGATTATACGGACTCCACCATACAGAACCACAGAATCTGGAGTAATCTGGGATGTAGCCAGAGCTGGAGGCAGCTTGGTGTCCCTGGAGACGGTCTACTGCCAATGGGCTCCATTGGTCTACCGGTCCAGAAAACCACAGAGGAGTCAGACCTGACGAGGCTCTGCAGGATGTTTGCTGTTGCTCCTGCAACCGATCTGTCAGGATAAACGGACCAGAACCGGACCCAGAAACTCCTTCGCGCTGCTCAGACTGGATGGTACCGGGACGGAAATGTCCCCATCAGCTGAGGATGAGTGTCCAGAGGACCAGCAGCAACCTTTGAACCCGTCATCTGTGAAGGTCATTTCCTGAACTGGACTGTTGCTTCTCCCCGTAATGGACGCCTGGACCTGTTGGTGTTGCTGAGGCTGCTGCAGTCTGTCTTAAAGGGTCGTCCGGTTCAGTGAAACCTGCTGGACGATGGTTGGTGTTTGGGTCAGAATGATGGAGGCCAGGAGAAGTGATAATAATGGTCTTTATTGAACAGATAAATAATCACTCCTGTGTTCCACACATGCATGGCTTTATGAAAATATCCTGTGGAACGGAAAACTTCATATCATCACAGATTGGAAGAACATCAGACGTTCACCAGAAACTACGAGATCTTTTACATCCAGAGAGTTGGACTGAATCTATCCGGCCAACCCAGAACCACAGGACCAGGATGAAGGCTGGACCATCATCATCATCACCATCATCACTTCATGCTCCGAAACCAGGAAGTGGTGCAAGGAGGTTCCATCCTCAGCCTGGTCATCATCAGGAGGAGGCGTCCAGTTAAGAGTCGCTCAGGTTTTAAAGACCTTCATGAATCTCATAAAAACATTAGTAACAACAGAACAACTCGTATGAAGAGAAATATTCCAGCCTGTTGCCTCAGTGGGCCGCAGCATCCAGGCAGGAAGTGATGAAGGAGAACTGTTAGCCCCGCTGCATCATGGGCTGTGTAGTTTTTGTAATAAAACCTGTGGATAGCTCAGCAGCGTTCTTAATAAAACACTGGAAGAAGCGACGGATGTGGAAGATCAGAACATGTTTCTGTAAAGTTACACAGTTAATGACATTATTCATTATAAAAGTAGTTAGCTTGCTAATTAAATATTAGTTTCAAACTGTAACATATAAATAAATAATGGTGAAAATATGACTTTAAAAAGTCAATCTCTGTTTTTCTCTGATAACAGGCTAAATAACCAAAATATTGCTGTTAATTTTGGACTGTGGAACTTTACAAACGGCACCTCATGTTTCTGATACGGAGCATCACAGGGTTCAATGTTTGACTGCATTTTCTTTTCCAAATATAAATGCTTCCACTTTTTAATTAGTTTTTCATTCATAAATAATTTCAGTACAAACGTTCATCTTTACGGAGATGATGATCAGCGATTTATCCACAAGTCCTGATGAATCCAGAAAGTTAAGCAGACTTCAGGTTTATGTTGGAGACGTGGCATCAGACTTGACCTGTGGCCAGAACCGTGTTTAGAATCTCCTGAAGCCGTTCTGCTGCGCTTTGGTCTGAATCATCAGATAAATAATCTTCGATGCTTTCTGTGCTTTGAAAAGTTGCTGTGTTTTTTGGAAAAGCTGTTAATAATTCATTGTTTCTAAATTAGTAAAATGAAAAAATGGTCCCAGAATGTTCAGACTGAACTGATGTTCCAATGAAGTCAATCATTTCGGTTCGGTTTCGGTTCTGGAAGCCTTTTGTTCTGGTCAATGGTGGAGCCACTGGATCAGACCATTAGAACCAAACCAACAGAACCAACAATGGACCAGAACCTTTCCACATCATCGTTTGTACAAACAATTTCTGTACAGCAGAGAGAAAAGGTCGGTTCTGACAGGAGCTAGGCCCGTTTGGACCGGCCTTCACCACATCCATGCAGAGGAGGGATCCCACCCATCCAGGAAAAGTAACAGAGCATGCTCTTTGGGTCAGGGGTCAAGCCGGTCACACTACAGGTCAGTTCTGCAGAATCAGACTGAACCAGGACAGCAACAGGGAGCAAGAAGGTAACTTAGAAAATAACATCAGCTCCGCATATAGAAAAGAATTAATGAAATAACCTTGAACGCAGAGACTCCGTGCTCTGAGCTAACTGCTAGCTGCTAACAGCTGCCATCCTCTAAGCTAGAAGCTAGCTGTGCTCTAAACTAGCAGCTAACAGGCCGTTTCCACAAATTTTTTTAAAATTTCTATTCAGTTTTATTCTAATAAACAACGAAGGACAATAATCCTCTCAACCCTTTTCCTCTCAGATGTGCCGTGATAGAGCACAGCGTTCAGGAGCATGCTGTAAATCCCAGCGCTAGCTCAGGACACTCAACATGACTGTTTAGCATGCATAGGCAGAAAGATTAAATAATAATAAAGTCTCCAAATAAAGACATCACAGCAAATCAATTCTCTGCTAAGCACCAAAAACAACCCATCATGTCGTCTCACATAGCAACCAAATTTAAAACCTGGGTTGCAGCAGACGGCTGCTCGGTCAGCTCATTCACAATCATCTGAAGGAAACCCGGCTGTATCCTGGCTCTAGTTCTCCCCCATTATCCTCCCGTTATGCTGCCTCCTGGTGGTGAGCTGGCTGAAGTTTTCAGCTATTTCTGTTTTCGGTCTTTAAAAGCTGCTCACTGCTTGCTCTTTGTTCTTTGGTTAAGACAGTGCTTCTCAAATCCAGTCCTCAGGCCCCCCTGCTCTGCATGTTTTAGATGTGCCTCTACTCCAGAACAGCTGATTCAAATGATTACATGACCATCAAGTGCTACAGACGCTTGTTAATCACAAAAAAATTCAATCCAGGTGTGTGGCAGAAGGGAAACACCTAAAACATGCAGGGCAGGGGGGACCGGAAATGAGAAACACTGGGTTAAGAACAAAAGCTACTGGAATAAGTAGTTCCCGGGGCAGAGGGCTGGAGATGTTTTCAGTGTTGAACAAGAAGAAGATGTTTGGTTATTTTGGGGTTCCTTAGGTCAACGTTGGGTCATGACCCAAAGTGGGATATCCCAGTAAAATCACTGGAAACCCTGAGTGGCTCAGTAATATGGCCTCCGACCTAGTAGAACCAGTGGAACCAACAGGCCTGCAGGCTCCGGTTGGTTTGTTCCTAACTAGATTGTTTCCAGTGTTTCTGCTGAAGATTCCCCAGACTCCTGCAGATGTGGCTGGACCTGGAACCCAGCGTAATTACAGCAGTGTTAGTGTTTCAGTTGAAGACGTTCCTCTCTGGGACGTCCTCCTGCTGTCAGCCCCTTGGCCGGCTGAACTCTAGAGAGCAGAGACCCGGACGATGTTGGCCTGGTAGTGATCGGGAGAACCGGAGGACCGGTCTCCGTCTGGAGTGGTGTTAGGTGTGGAAATGCTGGCGACAGCCGGGGAAAGGTACGGCGGCTCACAGTTCAGAGGGAGCGTCTCTTCAAACTTGGCGTTCAGACTGGATCGACTGGGACAGGATGATAAACAGGAGAAGGTTCTGGAGTTAACATCTGGAGTCAATATTTGGTCATTTAGATTTTGTTTCACAATAAATGATTTATGAGTATTGTGGCTCTCCTGTGAAGTTTCAGTCAGTCAGTATTACACCCCTGCCTCTCAGTTGTCCATTAGGGTAACGGGTCAGGGCTCAGACAGGTAAAACAGTTCAGGTGTCCATTAGGTCTGATTGTTTAGGATGCAGGTAACATCTCTGATCTTCTATCAGTTGTCACCTCATGGCTGAAACTGAAAAATCAGGAGCTGGTTCCCAGTCCTCCCACAGACATACATACTCTGTATTCCTGCCATCTGACTCTGCATGGGACCTAGGGCTGTTGTAAAAGAATATATTAGTAATCGAGTACACTATAGAACAGGGGTGTCAAACTCCAGTCCTCAAGGGCCGCTGTCCTGCAGTGTTTAGATGTGCCACAGGTAAAAACCAGTGGAATGAAATGGCTTAATTACCTCCTCCCTGTGTAGATCGGTTCTCCTGAGCCTTGCTAATAACCTAATTATTCTTTTCAGGTGTGGTGCAGCAGAGGCACATCTAAAAGTTGCAGGACAGCGGCCCTGGAGGACTGGAGTTTGACACCCCTGCTATAGAATATTTGTACGATTATCCGAGGAATCAGAGATCTCTCACTCTCTCTCTGTGACGACGCTATTCCGACGCCACAAAAGCTGTCGTAGTTCAACCATCGCACCGCAGAATTCAACAATCCTCCCCTAAACCCTCACAAAATGTCGCACAATTCAACACCAGGCCGCCGGCACTTCACAGCAACTCATAGGTGGAAGTAAGAGCGCTGGCCTCACAGATAATCACCCGGCCAGAACATGGTGCGCTACATAATAAAACATAAATTAACAAAGCTTCGAGTCAGATAAATTGTCGTAGACGAATTTTAATAGTCGAGGTACTCGAATCATTCGAGGAATCATTTTAGCCCTAATGGGAACGCTCCATCACCTGACCAGCTGCTGCCATGTGTTTGCTCAGTACAGCTGCAGAGAACAGATCAGAACTTCCTCTCTGTGGCTCAGCAGCTGAAAAGTTGATCTCTGAATCAATCTATGATGTGGGACCTTCACAGTTGCTGAAATCTCCACAGATACGGTGGATCTAAAAGCTCCTCAATGTCTCAGAGATTCTGATTCTTTCAGAGCAGCAGTCTCAAACTCCAATCCACAAGAGCCAGTGTCCTGCAACTTTTTGATGATCTAAACCCAAATAAAACCCCAGAACCTGTTTTAGAATCTCTAGAACCTGCGACTCCTCATCTAAGCTGTGACCTTTCATGATCTTCTGAAGGTTCCTGATGCTGAGGAACCTGAATATCAGGAACCTCCATGAGGATAAGGAGCCATGACCACCTTGATGGATCTGCACCAACCTGTTGGTGATTGGCCGCTCCCTGATCTGGATGTTGCTCAGCTCCTGGACGCTGCCCTGCAGCCCCAGACACATGTTGGAGTTGGGGATGTTGAAGGTCTTCCTTATCTTGCGGCCACAGCAGGAGAAACCATGAGGTGAGGATGAGGAGATGGAGGAAGATGGAGACAGCTGCTTTACCGGACTTAGGTCCCTGCAGCTCCACTCAAACAACTTTTCGTCCACAAACTCGTGGTTCTGAGGAGCAAAGAGGAGGTGAGAAGGTCATGGGCTGACTTCAGGGGCGGGTTCTCTCTGACCTCAGGTTCTCACCGTGGTTTTCTCCAGGCAGTTGAGCAGGTGGTGATGTTGCAGCTCAAAGGTGGGGTTGATCTTACACACCAGTGCTTGGCCTGCTTCTTTGGATGCCTGTAGGACACAAAGATAGCCATTATCTGAGCCACCATGCTGTGATGGACACATCCGGATTGGACCAGCATCAGCGCATTCAGAGGACCCCAGCTGTTAACCCCCAGCAGCAGGTTTCAGGCTGAATGTGACCCAGAGGGACAGAGTCAGGACATCTGACCTGGAGTTGCTGCTCAAAGCTTTGTCTCAGACAGAGAAGGTTCAGAAAAAACTGATCATGAGGATCTTACAGGTGGAGGGAAACACCTGATGTCTGCAGAAGAACCTCCATTGACCAATAGCCAGAGCTGCTGCTTCTGCTGCAGAGCCTCGCCTGGAGGACTGTGGCTGGGACAGAGATCTGCTACAACACCACACCAGCTGATTGGCTCCTCGGCCTGTTCTCTGGGTCACAATGACCCTGCATGCTGATTGGTTCATTCCTCCACATGCTGACAGAATAAACCAGTGGTCTCAAACTCCAGGCCATCCAGGTTTGGTCTCCTGCAGCGTCTCTCTGCCTCTCTGCTTCTCCAGTATTCGCTCTGGACTGCTCCAGGCAATTCAGACTTTTAAGTCAAGTTAGAGAAGGGGCACATCTCGAAGCTTCAGGACTTCGGCACTAGAGGAGTCCAGTTTGAGACCACTGAGGTAGAGAAGTACAGAAGCAACAGCCATTCATGTTAATCTCAGCAGCTGCTTGGTTTCAGGCGGCTTAGAGAGCAGTAGGAGGTTTCTGATGACCGGATCAGTGCTGGACCGGACCAGCGATGTGAAACGGTCGCTGGTGTGAACCTGCAGATATGAGTCGTTGGTCAGACCAACCTGGGACTGAAGTTTCATCTCTTCTGTCCCTGTACCAGGTGAAAATCCAACCAAAACAAACCCTGAGGAGTAACCTGAACGCTAACTTGGACGCCCCTCAAGCATAAACAAGAGGTCACGAGGTCAGGAGGTCGTCCATGATGGGACGAATGAGCAGCAGTGCCCTGCAGATGGATCTGAACACTTCTGACCTGCTGGAGGCTGAAGCAGTCGCTTCAGGCTGCACCATGTGGCGCTGAAGGACCCACACAAACTGAAGCCTAGTGGGCAAAAGGCGGAACTACAGGCTGCTGTCTGAGCATGATCCAACCGAGTTCTGGACCCGGACACAAGCAGACCATCTCTGATCTTTGACCTTTGACTGCTGCAGGTTCACTGAAAACACCGCACATGCAGCAACTTGTACCCACTCAACCTGACAGGGAGAGAGGCGGGGCCTGGTCTCCATGGTTACCTCCAGATCTGGACCAACCAGCTGCTGCCTGCGTTTGTACTGCATATAAGCTCTAGCTTCCAGGAGCACACACACACACACACACACACACACACACACACACACACACACACACACACACACACACACACACACAGCAGAGGTCAGGCCCCTGAAGGGCTGCAGATTTGGTTCTTCTCACCTGGATCCAGGTGATGAAGGTCAGGTGAGGCTTTTTGTTTTGATGTTGTGTTCCAGTTGCACTCAGAAGTGGTAAATTCCAGCTTCCCAGTGGGAAAGTCAACTGGAACGCTACCTACTGGGAAACTGGGAGCCACACCAACCCCCAGATACGACTAGCAAGGCAGACTTCCTGCTAAAACATGGCCGCTCCTCACATCATCAGCTGACTCAGTATGAGGAAGACTCTGCAGGTGTGAGGAAGGCCCGTACCTTTTGCGCTCGCCTCTTCTCGGCTCTCTGGCTCTGGTGGTAGATGCGGCTGAAATTGGACACAATGACGGGGACGGGCAGGGCGATGACCAGCACGCCGCTCAGGGAGCAGATGGAGCCGAAGATCTTCCCCATGATGGTCTTTGGGACCATGTCGCCGTATCTGAGGGGACAGAAGGTCAAGGGTCAGACCTGGTTCTGCTTTAGGGGACGACTAAAGGCTTCAGCACCAAAACATCCAGAAACTCAGATCTGCTGAACTGAGACTCTTTCCTCTGATCCAGTTCATGGTGACCTGAGATATTTAAAGGTCCGACATGACGGATCTGCTGCCCTCTAGTGGTCAACTCAGAGAATAACCTGCAGATATGAGTCAGACCGAGACATTCATTCATTCAGATGGAAAACGCCTCCAGGGATCTATAGAAATATCGCAGCTCCACAAAGCCTTCATCTCCCGTTTGCTACATCCAGAAACACCAGGCCACTTGAACCAAGAATAATGGGCTGGATCTAACCGGGCCAGAACCCTCAGCAGGTCAAAGGTCAGTACTAATGGTTCTGCTTTAACCCATTTTACTGAAAGTTTATTTACAATCACACTTATAACCTGAGATGATCAAAGGCAGAGAAACAAAAAACAGAAAACAAAATAATTATAAAATAATTATAAAACTAGCAGAAACTAATAAGAATAAAAAACAAAACAATTAATTTGAGCTGCAGAGATTTATCAGAAAAAACAACTAAAATCTGCTTTTTATTTCATTTAATCCTATTTCACTCTGGGTTTACTACACGACCCGGTTCCGGTCCACAGAACTGCCAGTTTAAAGAAGCAGTCTGGAATCCTGATCTATATACAGAGATCAGCATCTATCTGCTCTACATCTATCAGGAAGATTCTGGTTGAATTCTACAGGAAACTGACCCACAGAACCAGAACCAGTTCCTGAGATGGAAACATGGCAGTTGCTCTGAACTGCCATGTTTGTGTGTGTGTCAGTGTGTGTGTGTGTCAGTGTGTGTGTGTGTCAGTGTGTGTGTGTAAACATGAACAGCAGCAGGTGTTGAGCGTTGCAGAAAGCCTCACTGCTCCTCAATCATTCATGTCTCTGTGAACAAACGGGTACAGCAGCAGGAGCTGACAGGACACACACACTGACACACACACACTGATACACACTGAGACACACACACTGATACACACTGAGACACACACACTGATACACACTGACACACTCTCCCTGCTGTTCATAATAGATGAGTGTTTTCTGTTTCCTGTCAGTCTGACTGACGGAGCTTCAAGCTTTTACTGAGAAGCTTCCTGCTGGTTCTGGTTCAGACCCACTGGGTCCAGACCTGCTGGTTCTGCTCCAGGTCAGAACTTTGCATCTGGAGGGAGGTAAATGTGTTAAGCTGATCGGCTGGATTAAGATGTTTACTACTCATCATCCGACCCTCGGATTAACGGACCGGACCGGACCGGACCGAACCAGAACATCTCCTCTGCTGGCACTAAGCCTCAGCTGGCAGATGGGCCACCTTACAACAACAGAACCAGAACCAAAACCAGCTCTGAAACATGAGCCTCCAACATAAACCAGTTTGGATCCAAACCAAACCAAACTGGAAACCAGCTGGTGTCGACGTCAGACAGAAAAGGTCCAGAAACATTAGACTAAGGTCAGAACAGCTGACCCGGCCCCAGTCCAGTGTTCCTTAGACCGAGTCACCATGCATCTAAACTACATGTCTGGTAGTTTGTTCCCATGTGATTCTTGGAATAGTCTGAATGAAAACAGAAACTGAAGCTCATTCACTAACATGTCTATTAACATTTACTAACATGTCTATTAACATTTACTAACATGTCTATTAACATTTACTAATATGTCTATTAACATTTACTAACATGTCTATTAATATTGACTAACATGTTTATTAACATTCACTAACATGTTTATTAACCAATTTAATCCCAAATTTTTCCCAAACATGTAAATATGAAAATCCGATGTCATTGATAGCCCTTTGAACTAATCAGGGAAATAATTTTAAAAATTGTGGAAAAGTATGTAAAAAAGTGTGTTTTATGTTCGGTCACAATTGTGACCGGTGGGATAATATGGTGTTCTAATACTAAGATGAGCTAAAAGTGCTTTTTCCAAATAGACATGATCATAATATGTGATCATATTACATATTATATATATGTAATATATATAATATGTATACATTATATCTTGCTGTGGCAAGATATAATGTATATATCTTGCCACAGCAAGATATATACATTACTTTAGTGCAACATTTGCTCTGTACAGTACAAATTTGACTATCTGTATATTCTAAACCAAGTTAAATTTGAGTGCTCGAGTGTTTATGCATAATTATATTGAACTTCAGTCAGTTGTAGTGTCATCACAGTAACATAGATCATAAAGATAACATCTACAGTAGAGGCTTTCATTTATATTTCTGAAAATTATGAACATTTGTCACACTGTCATACAGTAAGACTCAACAGACTTAGTCCAGACTTTCTTGAAGCACTCAATGTGCAATAAAGCCTTGAATTTCTCCAA